GTCTGTTTCATCAACTCAGAGGATCAGATCAACAATGTATTCTAGCTTTAATTTGCTCTTAGGTTTTCATGATGACAAACTGATATTAAGCCGTTCAAACAAGTTTATGAATAAAAAAATGTCATCTGTACCTCTGAAAAACAGCTAGAATTATTTCCCTGATGACATTTTATTTTCAGGCATTATTTTTGGAGCAGGGGAATCTGAACTGTAACTACCACACAAGGGAGCCTGACTTTATCAGCACGTTGCAATTATTTTCTGGCCTCTACAAACAAAAGTCACTCCTTAAAACAATTTGTCAACTTTTATTAAAATCCGTACAGAGCACAACATTTACAAACATGGTTTCGGATGGGCTGGTACAGTTCAGTAGCTCTTTGCTGTTTCATATGTTTCAGGGAAGGCGAGACTTTTGTGCCCTGATCCCATGACCAATGGCAGGATTCCAGCATTTGGCACCACATTCCAGGAGAGAGTCAGAGTGATGTTCTTATTCGCCCTGGATTTGCAGTAAACAGATGTATTAGAGGTTGTGTAAATTATAAATTTTACTCAAGGAATTGTTTTTTTTACTTTTTTTTTATAATAAAAGATATATTTTTTTTATAACTGACAATGACATTCTTAAAGTGAAATGCATGTTAAATGAAAATGTTGTCTTAATTAGTCTCGTTTAGATTTCCAATGTGTCCTGTATTGTTTTGTCTATCATACACTTATTTAACCATGATTTACTAAAGACACCAAAGATGCCACAATACTCAATACAATACTGAACTGAATTGTAAAATGCGACTTTCCGGTTTTCTTGAATGTATGTCGATGTGCTGAGACAGGTACACAGCTCCCCGAGAGTAAATATCCAATAAGAGATTGCCAAGTTAGGGACGCTTAATACTTTGGATTAGACATGCAAATGTTCTTATTAAAAAAATAAAATAAAAAAAAAACATTAAAAAAAAAAAAAAACAATTTTGGTTAATATCAAATCTGATAATGCATCTAATCTGCTTTGTAGTAAATAACAACATGTGGAGTTCAGCTAATGTTTCATGCGATGGATACACATTGTCTACCAAATACGTTATAAATGGCAAAAAAAATCTAATAAAATAAAAATTTAAAAAAAAGAAGAAAGTGACGCATATAAAAGTTGAATCTGTACTTTGTATTTTACCCATTCAAATGCACAAACACAGCAGTGAGAACTAAACACACACACACACACACACACACACACACACACACACACACACACACACACACACACACACACACACACACACACACACACACACACACACACACACACAGTGAGCACAAACCTAAAGAAGTGGACAAAACAATCACTGAGTGCTGTGCGTCCAGTCATTCAAGCCGTCATTATTAACCGGGTTTTGACAGCATGGGACCAGAAGTGCACACTATCCTTTGATTTTATTAAACTCATTTAAGATTTTATTTAAACAATAAACCTCAAGGAGGTAAACTTGACAAGTATTCAATTGTTTATTGTTTGAAACGTAAACCGAGAAAAAGTGTTGCCTGAAAGAAAAAGCGTTGAAAAAATGTGTTTGACTTAAATTAAAAACATGGAATTGATAAGTGCAAAGTTAAATTTGATTATAATTATGCCTGACAACTGTTGTTAAATGATTTAAAAAGCGGTTTATTTATTTAGTATCTTTGCTATATTGTATGCATTTGAGCCTTTGCTTGTAGATTATTTTTTCTTGACAGAGTCCTGGTATTTTTCCTTGATTTAACATTTTTTTTCACATGTTTAGAACATTTGATAACTTATTAAAAGCCCTTTACAACTAATTAATTGCATTTTTAATTTTAACAGATTAGAGAAATTAATCATTCTGAAATATAGTAAAATAAGGATTGGTCAATTAGTCTATTTTATACTTTAACCACAGGTTAGAATAAATATCAGTTAAAATGAATGATGATGGGACTTTTTTTCACACTATTATTTTGACATTAATTTTCTTAACTGTTAAATACAACATTAACGTAAATACTTCACCTGTGTTTATTATATTTTCTATGTATATTAAACCACTGTCTTACATTTAATCTAAATCTGTATTGTTTGAATTTGTGTCAAAAACAACAAAGAATTAATATGAAACAGTGAAAATAGTAATAATAAACTGCATAACTGAAACACTTTGAATATGAATACTAACCTTAAACCATTTCCATCATCGAAGAAGAAGTACTTCGATTTAACATCCTTCAGGTTTAGTTTGGTATTGTCACCTCTCAGGACAATTTTGTCCCACAGCACCACCTGGTTCAGTGTCTAACAAGTGAAAAACACTTTTAACAAATTACATCTAAAATGCTTTGAATCATACAAGATTTTTCTCAAATAAATTTTAGGGTTGATGTGTGCCAAGACCACAGAGTCTTTAGAGAGAACAAAGGAAGAGGTGAAAACTTACATTGCTTTTGGTTGAATATTCAGCTGTCAGATAAAGAAAGAGCTCCTTTACATTCCAGTCAAATATTGGCTGTAGATGTGATCCAGACGTTAAGACAAATAATGCACATATATTTTGAACTGTACTGCAAAACGTGTCATAAAAGCGACACATATAAGAGGTTATTGTATAAGCAATGCTGCAGCTAGCAGCAGCTAAAGTTGGTTTTACATTCACACATTTGAACTTTCACCTTAAAAATTTATTTTCAAAAAAGTATTCTTTGTAAATTATAAATAGGGAATAGCAGCTTAAGGCTCTAAGAGTATAATATTGTTCACAGTCATTTAAAAAGTGCTAATGTTATTTTGAAGTCATACCTCAGGGGTGTCCAAACTCAGTCCTTGAGGGTCGGTGTCTTGCAGATTTCAGCTCCAACTTGCCTCAACATATCTGGTAAGAGCTTGATTAGCTAGCCCAGGTGTGTCTGATTAGGGTTGGAACTAAACTTTGCAGGACCAAGTCTCCCTGCTGAAAAATCTAGCTTAAACCAGCCTAGGCTGGTTGGCTGGTTTTAGCTGGTCTGGCTGGGAAATGACCAGTTAAATCTAGCAAAAACCAGCTTGACCTGCCTGGTTTAAGCTGGACATAGCTGGTTTTGGCTGGGGTCCAATCCTGGCTAGGCTGGTCAAGCTGGTTTTAGCTGGTCATCTCCTAGCCTGACCAGCTAAGACCAAGTGGCCAAAACCCTGCTAAAACCAGCCTGGTCAACCAGCTAAAACCAGCCTAGACTAGTTTAAGCTGTTTTTTTTTTTCAGTCATAACGTTACCTGCATGCTATTTCTGACCGAATATTCAAAGTACCATGGTAAACAATATAGGGACCGTGTCACTGTTATCAATGAACAAAAGTGTGAATATAAAACCAACTTTACCACAATAACATTCAAGTTTCTTTTCTGTTAAAAGGATATTAGCAAAAAGATCAAATGTCACAAAGCCCAAGTCACTCCTTTCTCGTGGTCCCGTGAAGTCGTCTACATTTTTACTGAAAAAGAGAAGAAAAAACATGACAAACGATATAAGTGACTATCTGCATAAATATGAGTGAAACGGATGTTAAAAATAAAACTAACGTTACATTCAAAACTGCAACCTGACGAGCAAAAATAAGCAGCGTTCACGTAAGTTTTTTAAGTTTCCCTCACTTTTACATTTCCACATACACCTAGAGTTTCAACACATAGTTGGACAAAACTAAAACCATGAATCTATACATTTGTAAAATGTACATCGGTGACGTGCTGCACCGCTATTGGACACCCGCTCATGAGCATCTACAAGTCCCATATGCTGCAAAAACATCTGCTTTTATATGCACGATTTTTACCCAGATTAATGTCATTATCTTAACACGGATGGAATATATATTCTTTGCACCATTGGTGAGAAACAGTGTGGATAACTTACATCATGACTTTGGATACGTGTATATCAACCGGTACGCTTCTGTCTTTGAAGGCTGTCGTGATAAAGCATCCGAATGTGAGAGCCGCCATTACACTGAGAGAGAAGGCGAAGAGCGAGTTCGCCCTCGACAAAACCGTGTTCATGATCCAGTCTAGATTTGAGCGAACTAATAAAAAAATAGAGCAATAGTAAATACACTGTAAATGAAACACTCTGAGCGGCTGTTTAACGCAGGAAGTGAGGAAGTCAAAAGATGATTCGGAAGCAAAGACCTACTTCCTGTTTTAATATAGTAAGTAAACATTGCCATCCAGAGGTCAGGCAGTGGCATTGCCACTGTTGACATTTTAGCAAATATTTTTTTTATTTTACTTTGTAATTTTTATGAATTGAGTTTTTATGCAATTATATATTGATTGCAGTAAAAATGTATACACAAAGGTAGATTTGTTCAAGTTTCTTCGTGTTTCACAGCATTTAAAATTACTTCAGATTTGTATTTCCATCCATAAAAAGTACATTAAAGCTCTTTAAACATGTCAGCATATATAGATTTACCTCCTAAATGTAATTTAAATTGTGTTATGATATTATTCATCATTTTATTTATTTGTAGCCTATTTTTATATACAATTTTGTTGCTGATTGAATATGCTAACTATGTTTAACAATGGAAGATGAGAATGCCTGTTTTGCTGTTTAAATGTTTAATAAATTAAAGTAAATAAACTTTTCAGACATCCCTAGCAACCCCCCTTTCCTCATAAATATAAATCAGCAAATTGAGCTTTTGTGTATGTAAAAATATAGCTTTAAATGTATTTCTCTAACCTTTTAGAGTTATTCAAATGAAAATGAACACATGTACTCTCTAAATTTATACTAAGAGAGTTTTATGTTGATCAGATGATCAGCATATACCAATACATCACTTAAAACTAACACTGTCCAATATTGTTTTACTAGTTAATAGTAACCATATACATTTTAATTGTTCAAAGTATACAACTGTTCAATAATTCAATGCTGTTCTTTAAAAGGAAAACATATAGCACTATATCACTATGCTTATAACAACAATCAACATGATTTTAGCAACTTCACCTGAAAAAAAAGTATAATAATATTTATATAAAATTGTATACAAATAATAATAAAAATAAATTAAAAAGCACGAATGAACCTAAAAGTGTATTCATTTAAAATATACATTTTTGCTATGTATTGACTCTATTAGTGTATTGTAGGCTTTAGCTTCTTGGAGGAAAAAACTTTCAAGAAATAAAAAAAATTAATAAAAATAAATAAATAAATAAATAAATAAATAAATAAATAAATAAAAAATCCTCCCCAACCAAAATGCAATTGAATCTTAAAAAAAAAAAAAAAAAGAAGAGCAATATCAAACTCTTAACTGAAAAAAGCTAAAGTTTAAAAGGTATTTTTCACAAATGCTTGAATCTTTTTTTATTATACATGTTGTATTACATATAATAATGTATATCTAATGTAATGTTGTGCTAATATGATTATTTGAACAAATAACAATAAACCTACTGTATTGTCTCAGGAGAGTAATTTCCACAAACATAACTGTCAAAATTTACATCCGTTGATAATCAACCAAATACTTTAGTAACTCTTCTGTTATATATTGTAGTATCAAAGTATTGTAAATACAAATAGTTCATTGGAATGCAAAGCTTTCACAAACACCTCAGCGAATGACAACACCTATTGTTATGCCTCAGTCAAGTGGCCCATTTTCCACTGGCTAAAAGTACAGCTGCCTTATCTCATCCCTACTCTGGGCTCAGCTGCTTTGGGGAATAACTGGGCCGGCCTGGCATATGATCCCCATCAACACATCCCTGAATCTCATTCCAAAACATTCACAGTCACTGAGCAGCAGCAATGACTGAGATTTTAGAGGAGCGGCCTTTCGGCTCTAATACCAACGTCTACTTATCAATTTTCGTACTTTTTTGCTTTAAACTTTTCGTCAAGATTAGCTTGAACATACTTACTCACTTCTACGTGGTTAAAGGAAATCGTAAGGAAGCAGCACGGATCGCAGCTGAGTTCTATGATTTTGGCCAAGGGCACAGTAAGTAGGCACACATTGTGGTTATTTATTTTGGAGTCTGTTTTGTTGTGTCTGTATATAAATATCACTGTTAAATATTTTACTTGTTTTACAGGGAGTAAAAGAGAAAGTGTCTGTTGCATGGCCCAGTTTGTAACCTAAAATTAGATTGTTGATATCTAATAGGGAAAATTACAACAATTTATATACAAATTTTATGGCTCAGTAGACTCTGAATAGAATTATGATACATAAAACCTTGAAAATTATATTTTTAGTGTCACTTAACAAAAATGACTGGTGCAATAAAATATTTATTAATATTTCTCACAGTTATTCATTAATAATTTGACTGTAGTCTTTTAAAAGCTTGTATGCTTCAAATGATATTTTGTAGATTTTGTGCTACTTTATTCCTCTATTTTTGTGTTATGTAAAATATAGACCTGAATAACATGCAAGTAACATAATATTAAAGTTACACCATCTGAAATTAAAGGATTTGTTTGCATGACACAAGATGTGTACTGAAAATTATGTAACAGGAATAGCCGACTGACACATACAGTGAGTGTGCATTAATACCATAACAAGCACACAATAAATAAATAACCACGAATTTTAGAACCTTTTTATGTTATAAATGTGTAGGGGAAAATCCACGCATAGGCTACTACTAGCAACTTGCTTCGGAATAATAATGGCACCGTTCTAATCTTAACCTGAGATATAAATAGTAGGCTAATAAGCAGGCAACTGACATGCTACTAAGATTTACTTCATTAATATGGATTACGTAACGTGACGCGATCTCAGTAGGCGTGGAAAAGGTTCAGCTTATGAATATTAATGACCTTAGGCGACTGCACGGCACGCTGCAGAAAAGATACCAAGCGACGTCAGCATGACCTAATAAATATTCATATGGTAAATCTTGCAGTAGTCACACGGCTCTAGTAAAACAACAACAAGCCAAGCAGCCAATCAGAGAAAGGCGCTGGTCATACTCGCTGTAGCCCGTGTAAAGAGGAGGACAGTGCTGATGCAAACATGCCTGAAGTTCCGTGCAGAGAGCCAGAGCACTCTGATAATACTGCCAGAAAAAGAAAGCGAGAGGACGTCGACGAGTTTTCTGCGAAAAAGAAATCGCGCTGGGGTGTTTTGATTAGTCAAGGTGAGTTATCGACACGTGTAAATAAATGTGCCTTTATACAAATTGCTCCTCGCTGCTCTCATCTTGCAGCAGTGCATTTATACTGGCGGGCAGTTATATCTAAATGGTAGTGTAGATATAATAATAATAATAATAATAATAATAATAATAATAATAATTATTATTATTATTATTATTATTATTGATAATTTATTATAATAGTATAATATGTAATTTAGGAAATTATATTATACATTTTTCATTGTTGGTAATGTGTAATAATTAGTCATCATTAAAATGGCTTTGATATATGTTATTGAATGCATTAAAATGAATAAAATAGAAAATAATAGATAATAACTGCCTTATTCACACCTACAAACATCATTCTGAATGCAACAAAATTATATGAATTTGCTATGATTTTGTGAGTAATCGTGTAAAAGGTTGAACGTGCTAAAGGTTTATTATAAAAATAATAAAAAAAAAAGATTAAAAAACCTTGAGCACATCTTTATCATTTTCAGTGGTGGAACATTTTGTTCCAAAGCTTGGTTAATCACATTTCCCACAACTCTAAAGCTGGCTAGCTTTAGTATTTGCAGACTACATGCAGCACAGTAAGCAAGCAATAATCTATTTAACAATGCTATAAAATGATAAAGTTATAAAATTGTCATTTACAAACAAAAAAATAAATTTTTATGTAATTGTCTTATTGTTTCTGCTTGCTCATAAAATGCATACACGTTTTAGCAACATGTACAGTTAATCATTTAAGTAAATAGAAATAAATAATAGCATATACTTTAACCTCAGTTTAAATACAGTGGTTAAAACATAATTAGTATAGCAAAATCCTGATTAATTTGGGGTTATCTATGCTTAAGCCTTTTTAAAATCTCCAATAAAGCCATGGTCAATTTAAGTGCATGTTTATTATGTTGTGTACTTGGGCTAGTAGTTGTTAAAGGTTAAAATGTCTGTAAAAATGTTACTGATTTTATTGCTGCATGTAGCTAAGTTTAGTCATTTCTAGTTAGTGACATCTGAACCCTCTTAACATGAACTAACAGCATAGTAAACAGTGGAAGCTAATGTAAGTTTAAAATCCTGCATTACTAAACATGGCTTTTATGTGTATTTATTAAGTTTCTTTTATATCATTGTAATGCACCATGAATGGTTAAAAAGGCTGCCTGTCTCTGTGAGCCTAAAAAAGCAGTAAAGTTACAAGTGGCCCTAGTGTCCTTGGAGCCCAGCTGTAGCCACATGAACACAGGATCTGAAATATTCATGAATCTCCCAGAGTCTCTTTATGAAGCCTACTAGGTGTTAAGCAACCGGCATTCACTGGGAGAAATTCCCATCAGGCAACAACCATTGATCAGCAAAAGTGGAGCTCTGATATACATTGTCACCATAAATTAAAGTACTTATAATTCACATAATGTATTATGTGTATTTATTCTCACATACATAATATATTCTCAAGAAAACACAAATCAGATCATAAAATAAAGCCTCTAGTAGTGGAGCTGTGCAGCTGTGACCTAAAGCTCCACGTCAGTCTGGATTCTCAGTTGTGGTAAAACATCTTCCTCGCTCAGCTGAGCTAAAAAGAGAAGACGGCTGCTTTATTTGTGTGTCCTAAGATGACAGCCGTGCTTTCGTTTACAGGATATGGCGTATGTGTATGAATGGCTTGATGTGCCGTGGGGCGATGGAGATTTGGGTACGTAAAGGAACCTCTAGTTCTATGACAGGAATGGCAGAGGACAGTTGTCGTGGCTAGATTGAACCCAGGCTAAATATATACATTCTAAACAGATACTTATCTTTAGTTGTGCTGGTAGTAATGAAGATACCCGCACAACTGCTCTGTGCTCTACATTGCTCTGTGACTTTGGTGCTAAACAGAACTTGAAGGCTGTTGTTGTTGGTAGTTATGTCGTTAATTCTTTGGATATGTTTAATGCAGTTGTTCAATTGAGGAATTTTCTAAATGGATCCGTGGAGCATGTAAGATATTGCTAAGGGATATCACTGTATTGTGATTGTTATTTTTGTTCTAAGATGTGCTTTATGAATATGTCTGAATTGAAATTTTATTAACAAAAGAGCATATATTAAACAAGAGGTACGAAAGACATTTTTTTAGTGTGATACTTCTTTCTGTGATTTATTAAAATGTATGTTAAAAAAGATCTTTACTTAAAATGACAAAAACAAACAATATTTATTATTATTAATTATTATTATTATTATTATTATTATTAGTAGTAGTAGTAGTAGTAGTTGTAGCATTCATAGTGAGAATTTATGTATCATTTGCAGTAGTTATTCTTTAAGTATCATCCTTAATTGACCAAAAAGTCAGTAAAAAGCAGTACAGTTGAATTATTATATAAAATATTATATAAATAAAATAGAATGAAATTATAAAATATTAAACAAAATAAAGTGAGAAGAATGAGTTTCTTTAATCTTTGTTTTTAACTAATATATCAGTATGTGATTAGAATTAGAATCAGTTTTATTGCCAAGTGTGCTTCACACACACAAGGAATTTGTTTTGACTAAAGAAGCTTCCAGTGTACATAAAGTCACAACTGACAAAAAAAAAAAAAGAAATACAATAAACATTTAAACAGAGACACAATTCAACATCCAGATTTTTTTGACTAATTGCATGTACAGATTTGTTATAAATATGCAGGTTACGGTGCTGTGTACAAATGCGAATGGAGAAAGAATTGCTTTGTATATTGATATAAGGTGCTTTGTACAAGTGCGTATAAGAAAGTATTGCACATATTTATTGCACAGTTGGGGAATATTTAACTGTTCATAAGGTAGATGGCCTGAGGAAAGAAACTTTTCCTGTCTCTGGCTGTTTTTGTGCTTGGTGCTCTGAATCTCCGACCAGACGGTAACAGTTCGAACGGGTAGTGTGCTGGATGCGAGGTGTCCAGAGTGATTTTGCGAGCCCTTTTACTCACTCTGGAAGAGTACAGTTCTTGAAGTGTAGGAAGTGTAGTGCCAGTGATATGTTCAGCAGTCCGGACTATTTGCTGTAGTCTAGGGCAGGGGTTTTCAAAGTGTGAGGTGCGCCTCCCCTGGGGGGCGCTAGAGCATGTCAGGGGAGGAGCGGGAAAAAATATTATATAATAAAAATATAATTATTAAGTTTAATTATTATATGTATTTTTTATTATATTTAAACGTTTCAATTAAACAAAGCTAAAAAAAATAATACGTCGAAAATAAGAAAACCTTTTTTACCCAGAAGGCCATAGCTGTGAATTCGCTTCTTTTTGGCAAGCCCGCCAATACAGGTATATGCCTGCTAATACAATGGATCGGTTTCTGAGATCCCCCGATTCAAAGCCTTCAAGTTCAGGGCTTAAACCCAAAAGACGACGATATGATGATCAGTATTTGAGTTTAGGATTTACGTGGACAGGACCAGCTGATGAACCACGACTTTTATGTGTGGTTTGTCAGGATATTTTGGCTAATGACAGCATGAGACCCGCTAAACTTCGACTGTTTTGACTGGGATGGACAGTTCTTGGATCTGTTCTATTCATATTGAACCATCATCCTAGTTTTAAAAACGTCATATTAAAATACTTGTTATTACTCTGTAAATAATTGCACTTTCATGCAAATGATGATAAAAGTGAGTTAATAGTCTGACATCTGTCTGTGTCTTTATATATATATATATATATATATATATATATATATATATATATATATATGTGTGTGTGTGTGTGTGTGTGTGTGTGTGTGTGTGTGTGTGTGTGTGTGTGTGTGCGTGCGTGTGCGTGCGTGCGTGTTTGGGAGGAGGGGGGCGCCAATGGATAAGTTGTGTCAAGAGGGAGGCCCACTGTCTTAGACTTTGAAAAACCCTGGTCTAGGGGAAGGGGGTCATTTATTTACATATATACACAGCTAAAATATACAAAAAAAATAAAATCATAAGATAATTGTTAGTTTAAAAACCTGAAGTACCAATGAACCTCGACTCGACTAAATAAATATCCAGTATACTGTCATACTGGCCTTCAACTGCTACCGAGAGAGGAGGAATTTAAAAACTTAATTGCTAGAGGTATAAATTATACTTATGTCCTATTTCTTACACATCTGGGAACACAATATTGATGACCTGATGGTAACAATTGTGTACATTGGAGGTAACAAGATGCACTAATTTTAAGTTATGTAGAATGACTCAATATTTCGGTGAGCAGGACTCACTAAAATATACTCAATTATTTAAATAATATAAAAATCCAAGTCTATTTAAAGCAAGGGGGTTGAAGATTTCTATTTAAAAAGTGTAAACATTTTAGCTGCAGCCATGTCCACTTTTAAAACTCGTTTATGTGTATGGGGATGAGTGGAGAGCAGAATGCCCCTAAATAACCAGATCAGGTTGGTCAAACAATTTCTATTCTCTATACATGTGTAAATTCATGGACAATTTTCAACTAGAAATCATGCAAATAGGGAAAACAAATAAAATTACATCAACTTGAAAACATTGCATTGAGATAAGAGAGAATGTAAAATGTAATCTAGTTTTCTAGTCTGTTAATAAAACAAAACAGATGTTATTGCTTTCATTCTTATATATATGGAGAAAATTAAAGTCCAAATGTGATTGTTTATAATGGGTAGTAACATCTGTTTTGTATTGCAGCACAGGGGAATCTGTTTTAATGGTCCAGCAGTTAAAATGAATCGACCTTTGTTGTATGACGGGGGCCGATATGCTCTCGTGGATATTTGAAAATGCTTTGCAATTTTCAGCAGTTCCACTTAAAGGCTCTTTTCTCAACAGCTGTCAATGGGCAGTGTCAAAATCACCTGTACTTGCACCACTCTCACTTTAGTCTACTGGAAATTATATCCAGACTGATTGTGGCTGAGTGGGTGTATTTAAAGCACTTGAATTACATGGTAGTGCTATTTGTTGGCTTTTAAATGCAGAAAAGGCTGATTGCCGTAAGTTATGTAAATGTAACTTCTGATATACATTCAGGTTTTTTTGAGGGTTATTGTGCTTTCTGAGATAAAATGGCATTTATCTATCCGTTTATTTAATCAGAAGAGTAATAAATATGTATGAATAGGAATTCATGTTTATTTCTATCTCACAGGATCTTGGGCAGATCGTTCTCCACTCCATGAAGCTGCATGTCAAGGTCGACTTCTGGCACTTAAGACTCTTCTATCACAGGTTTACAAATGTAGACACACATACACACACATATTTAACAAACTTGCAGTTTGTTTAAACTGTTAAAACAGTTTTTTAAAACTGTAAAAATAATATGTTAAAATAAAAAATAAAAACAATTAAGAAAATACTATACTGTATGTTCTGTAAACGTTTTTCTTTATATTACCAGGGTTACAGTGCAAATATTGTCACCATTGATCATGTGACTCCACTACATGAAGCTTGTCTGGGAGATCATGTAGCCTGTGCCAGGGCACTCATAGAGGCTGGTGCCAATGTGAGTTACAGTTGTTAAACAGCACATTAAAGGTGATTGGGAAAGATTCAAAACAGAAAAGTAATTTTTGTAAATTAAATGAAAAGTATTAAAACAACTAAAAATATAATATAAAAGTATAAATATTCTAAGTACTATAAAAATCAAGCATTATATAAACACATCAGGCAGTCTGCAGAGAAACTTGGCCTTGGGCGCCATTGGACATTTCAGCATGACAGCAACCCAAAGCATAAAGCAAATGTGGTGAAGAAACAGTTAGCAGTGGCTCAACCAGAGTTCCGACTTAAATCCAATTGAGAATTTATGGAAGATGCTAAAGATCAGGTTGATGAAGAGGAACCCCTCCAACCTGAAGAGCTCATCACTAAAGACAAATTAGGCAAAAATACCAGTCGGGGCAAGCAAAAAATCAATCAGCAATTATAGGAAGCACTAGATCGCTGTAATAGCCAGTAAAGGCTTGTCTATTGATTATTGAGAAGGGTATAAATAACAGTGATGCTTCTTGTACATAGTCTTATTATCATTTGGGAGAATTCTGTATCATTTATTTAAAAACCTTGAATAAATTGGCAAATTTGCCCGGGGTATGAATAATTTTGGGCTTGATTGTATATATATATATATATATATATATATATATTGTTTGTCAAGTAAACATACTTCTGTATCTTTCTAATTTTACTGTATACACACACACATACTATAAATCAAAGTATGTGATCTGAGTAGTAGTATCTGCAATAGTATCTTGATGCAGACTTGGAGAAGGCATATCTCAAACTTGCAATGTCAGACACAATGCCATGAATGAAACTATTGACGTCACTGTGAGGGGTAGGGTTAAGGGTGGGGTCAGGTGTGTGCATTAATAGCATTGCATGCAGCTCAGATTGTAACTGCGCCAGATCTGCATTCAGACCCCTCTCAGTTTCTGTGGAGTGCTGTTAGCATGTTTTTTTGTGTGTCAGGTAAATGCCACGACCATTGATGGTGTGACACCGCTGTTTAATGCCTGCTCAGCAGGAAGTGTCACCTGCGCAGAAGTACTGTTGGAGCATGGAGCAAAACCACAGGGGGAAGTGTGCCAACCTTCGCCAATTCATGAGGCATCTAGCAAAGGTACTGTAACTAATGTATCCCCCCCCCCCCCCCCAAAAAAAAACAGCGATTTGAATGTAAATAATTTCAAGTGTGGTCAGATTTTTTAAAAACAATAGTTTTCACAGATTTCACCTCGCTGACCATATAATGCAGTTTGTGCAGTTCTGTGTGAACTTACTATTGACAATGAACACTTTTTGCTTTGCAAATGTCACAAAATTATACAACTTTAAAGTAAACAGAAGAGTAAAAGATAAACACAGATGTGTTTGTTGTTTCAGGCAGGGCGGCATGTATAGATTCTCTCATCTCATGGGGAGCAGATGTAGATTTCGACATCCCTCATCTAGGAACACCTCTCTACATCGCCTGTGCTTCCCAGCAGCTCCAGTGTGCACAGAAACTTCTGGATGGAGGTGAATAGATTAATGCTACCTTCACATGTAACTGAAATGATCATAAGCTGTAGTTTTTCTAGTCAGAATTTGGCTGGCTTCTAAAAGTTTAACCACACTTGTAGCACATTCTCTTGGGTCAGAAAGAAAACTATGCTTTTACAGTAGTTATGGTTTACTTATTTGGTGCACAACAGGGTTCAGATGGCAGAATTCATATTTATTCAAGCGAATTGAAAATAACAGAGCTATCACACAAGAGTTTGTTTTAATCTGAAGCATAAACATGCAAAAGTCATGCTTGCAACTAGAAAGCTTCAAATTCCACCCTATCATTAACTTAAAAAAATGTGGCGAGGAAGCTGATTGCTATTAAGACCTTGTTGTTGGTTAAAACTTAAATATACTGTATGTGGTTGTAAATATCCACTTGGTGCAGATTTTATGTTTTATACACACCAAAAAAACATTTATTTAACTGACAAGTTCCCTACCTAGATAGCTTAGTATAAGTATACAATATAAGATGGTTATGGTTGACAACAGACAAGCCGCTATAGACTTTTTGTCACAGTCTGCAGCCAACCTCAGATTTTTGACTTGGATGCGATTATGACAGCTTTGGTGTTGTACTGCTAGTGCATGTCAGTGATTTCTAAAATAAAACATGCTACAAACACATCATTTTGACTTCAGAAATATAAAGTAGGAAATGTACAATTACGTGAAGGCAGCATAAGACTCTTAGTGTCTCTGTGCACACTTTTACTATTCAAACAATGCAATAAAATATGTATTTTGGGGGTGTATCTCACCTTTTGATCTGGTCTTGATGATTTTACCTGTTTTTCTTAGGAGCCAATGTGCAGAAGGGACATTTTCTGGACACTCCACTTCATGCAGCAGCACAAAAAGACAGTCCAGAAATCATCAAGGTGCTACTGGAGTTTGGTGCTAGCATTAATGCTCGCAACCTAGAGTTACAAAAGCCAGTGGAAACAGCGCCACCCAGCAGTACGGCAGAGGCTGTACTACTTCTTTATGAGGGTGAGGCTACTCTGTCGGATTTGACAGCTTTTTATTATTGTTCTACTTATTATTTTGTTATTTTTGGCAACCCAAGAGGCTTCCAGACTGGAGAATCGATTACATATGATTTCATAGTTCTTAGAACTATTGGTGGAAGTACTTACTTTTGGGTGTTTACACACCACAGGAGCTGGGAATTATTTTAGCTGTATATTTTAACTCCTTTTGGTGAAACTAAAATAGCTCCTATATAAGAGTAAGGTCTAAGACAATGGACCCTTTTCACAAGATACACTATGATACGTTTAACCGTCATCAAAATCTTAAATCCTTGAATGTTTGTAATATTACAATTTTTAAAAAATCGTATGAACATTTATATGCATTTATGTATGTATTATATCCTCTTGGCATCAAATTACAAAAAAACAAACTACTGCTTATGCAAGCTGTTTCTTAATGCAGCGTCTATGGGGCTGAGATTAAATTTGATGTTATTCTCTCCTCTGGCTGCCGTCATCAGTCTCACACTTTATTTTTTTCCTTTTTCTGAAAGTCTTGCTAACACCATTGTGGCATTTTTCTTTTATTGCTTCAGCCAACAGGATTGTAAAAAAATGATTTGTTGTACTCTTCCATTCACTGCACTCTAGGTTTACCCAACTATGATGACTTCTTCTGCTGAGAAACCCGGAAATGTAAAAAAGGGTCTATAAGAACTCACGTGACCTAAGTGTGCTTTGACTGGGCGATGTAAATCAATCAAAATACAAAGCATAGCCAAATAGAAAACCAATGTTAGTAGTATTTACCTGCACCTTTGTGTTTTTTTTCATTCTCTATATAGTTGTATTAGCTGAATTTAACTCGCAGTCCAACTTTTACTTCCTAGTGTATACAATGCAAAGTGCCTTGTGACAAAAGCACCTAATGTGGTTTTGAAGGACCATGTCCGTTCAATCCTTAAGTTGAAACTGAGATCTGTGTGAATTTTGAATGCAAAAAAAGTCTGATTATTTTAGCTTTGTGTAAAAGATTGTCTTACAAAAACTTAATCACGTTCAATTCAGTCAGTCAGAGTTGTATATTCTGTTCATAGTTAATGTAAAAATAATAAAATTTACTTCTACTAAAAATTTACTCTAAACTTTTTAATAAACCTACTAAAAAGAAGTTCTGCAATAATAGGTTCATTGAACATTAAGGCCTTAATTTTATTGATAAGGAATTTTTTTTTAATTGAAAGTGTTTTGAAATATTGAAATGAAACTAATTTGAAATATTACTGGGATAGTTAAAACATGATAGGGTTAGAACATCGATATATTTTTATAGAGTTATTATATATATATAATTTTCTAAATTTTCTAAATTTTCTTTTTTTCTTAAACTCTACTATTTTTTATATATATATATTTTATATTAATGTTAAGCACCTTGGGTCTGAGAGTAACGCAATTTCGATTCTCTGTATGTCTTGTACATGTGGCTGAATTGACAATAAAGCTGACTTTAACTTTGACTTTGATATATATATATATATATATATATATATATATATATATATATATATATATATATATATATATAAAATTATTATTATTTTTGTATTAAAATGGAATGTTGTTAACTTTTTTTTTTTTTATAGCCACGCCGCAGTCTCTATGTCAGCTGTGTAGACTGAGTATCCGAAACTACATGGGCCGATCCAGACTGCACTTGATTCCTCACCTCAAACTGCCTACTCTGCTCAAGAGCTTCCTTCAATACAGATAACCTCTCCACCTCCCTCATAAAGCCCCATCCACACTTTTATTTTCTTATTTTAAGTGCATTAATATACACAAAGGTCACCTGTTCTTGTTTGTGACCACCAACGCACAGACAACACCATCACGGCTGCAATTCATTCATTAAAAGAATCTAATATATTTTGTGCGCAACTAATGTACATCAGTTATATTTTGTAAGAATCTTCATTTACAAATTTATTGTAAATTAGTCACTTGTGACATGTCCATCCTTATGTTTGTATCAATATAAATTGCATGCCTAACGTGATGCAAATTTATCATGTCAGAAATTACTGAAGTCAAAGAAAATATAGTGAATTTGCTATTTTTTACCAAGCTAACGCTTTCAGTTTTTCCACATTTTCAAAAGCTGCAATCTGAACTGTTTTAAAAGGGGACAATTCAATCTAATGTAGTACTTTTGCTAAACATTTTGTTGCCAAACAAAGCATGATAAACTTACACACAAATAAAGATATGCATACTTTGATGGTCTGACTGGTCTTTCTTTTTTCAAAGCAGTTCATAATGTAAATGTATTTAACAAACACAACAGCATATAAACGTCCTGACAAAAGTCTTGTCATCAATCACAGTTGTAAGAGCAACAAATAATAACTTAACTTCTAGTTGATCATTTGGAAAAGAGGCAGAAGGTAGATTTTTTCCCATGAATCATCTGTCGAACTGCTTCCAAATCATCATAAATATTGCAGAAGACTTACTGGAACCTGCATGGACCCAAGGTTCTCACAGAAATCAGTCAAGTTTGGTGAAGAAAAAAATAATGGTTTGGGGTTACATTCATTATGGGGGCATGCAACAGATCTGCAGAGTGGATGGCAACATCAACAGCCTGAGGAATCAAGACATTTGTTCTGCCTGTTACATTACAAACCACAGGAGAGGGCAAATTCTTCAGCAGTATGGCGATCCTCATACTTCAGCCTCCACATTAAAGTTCCTGTAAGCAAAGAAGGTTAAGGTGCTTCAGGATTGGCCAGCTCAGCTCAGTCATCAGACATGAACATTATTAAGCATATGTGGGGTAAGATGAAGGCGGAGACATTGAGGATGAATCCAAAGAATCTTGATGAACTCTGGTAGTCCTGCAAGAACGCTTTCTTTGTCATTGCAGATGACAAATGGGATGGGAGTCATACCCAATATTAATTCTTTTTACACTTCACCATTACTTTATAGTCTATACTGTAAATTATTTATGTTGAGTGATAGACAAAAATAGATAAGAATAAAGGCCTGATCATATTTTATTTTGGTTAAATAAGCATGATCTAGAGGCCTTTGCCTTTTGTGTAAGCCACTTCTGATACCAAACGATCAACTAGAAGGCAAGTTATTATTTGTTGTTCCTAAAACTTGGATGGGTTACAAACACTTTTGTCAGTGTATGTCTTAAGATTTGTTTCAAACATTTTGATTTGTGAATCAATTATATGAATAATAATCAAGGCAGTGATGCACTTCTAAGAAAAAAAAAAAAACTTGGAAAGTTTTTGAGCTTTTTAATAGCAATTATCAAATCATAGTCACAAAAAAGGTGATTGTAAATGATACAGTTCCTGCCGGTTCATATACATATAACTCTCTCCTTGAACATTTAGGATATCCTCTGTCAAAATAAACAGACAAGACACTTGTAGCATGCAGAATTTAGACAGGTCCTTGTTCAATCTGGTTTAAGACTGTCCTCTGTTGCATGAACAGTGATAATAATTAATATGTACATTCATTTGAGCTCTAATTTGAACATCGATTCTAGAACAAAACTATATACAAATAAATACATTTCACAGTGCAATTTGATGAAAATAGGTTCTGTATCTGGCTCTTCTAAAATAAAACCAAAATATTTCATTAAATAATTCCTCAAAGCCACTTTATGTACTGAGTTATGTGTGACAACATTTGCAACAAGTTTTTTTACAATACAAATCACACTCTATTCAACAATTCCAGAAATACATAACAGAGCTATGTATCAATAGAAATGTCTTGTTTTCTCACTCCCTATGTGCAATTTCTTAAACGTATTGCCTAAACAGACATATATAGACATATTTCGAATGGAACAGCGAGACTGAAACTCACAGTAAATAGCTTTGCAATCATTTATGAACATAAATATTACATCTCTGGTCCCATAGCCGCTCTGTTAAACCATTCATAAAAGTTCCTAAATGAAATGAACTATCATTTAATATTGATTGTTACAAAGTGAGGCTTCAAACCCTCAGTTCTAATATTTGGTTCTACTGAAATATTAGTCCACATAAAACAGACAAGACAATTGATTTCAGACGGAAAACTAACTTGCCTTTGTTCATGAAATCAAATGCGCAAACAAAGAAAATGTACAGATGTATACCCTGTACTCGTCTTGAAATTTATGATGCAAATGATCAAACTCAATATCATCGACTAAATTACAATCTTTAAGCTATAGACTGAACATCTACACCTGAATACCTGAACCTGCTTATGTTGTAGGATGAGGAAGAAAGGCATAACATATTTTGCTTCATACGTATCTTCATCACTGTCTTCAGCATTGAAATCTCTTATTCAATAGTTGTGGTGTTCTAATTGTATCTGAGCTTGAAATTAGCTCAATATTTGTCCAATGCTTGTTGCTTTGCTGCTTTATTTTAGAAAAACTGCTTTATATTTTCCTCATGTTAATGGAACCATTGTATAAATGAAATAACCCACCTGCATTTGTTCTGTTGGTCTTTCCTGTGGATTTGTATGTGTGGATTTAGCTAGCAGCACTTTTGTTTTGCTGTAATTCTTTGCATAAACACTGCAATCCTGAATGTAAGAAGCACGGCATGGAATGGTGGCAAAGCCTCAACGAAAATGGATTTGAACACAACGTGACATTCTGCTGTTCTATGATGTACATCAAGATTTCGGGAAGAAAACAGGAATGTTGTTTTCTTTTAAGACGCTGATTTTCATGAGCCAAAGCCACCAAAAATACTGCTCACATTTGTTGTATTTGTGCTCAGAAGGGGTTGAGGCGTACGCCCGTCCCCAGTGGAGAGAAAGGGTTCACTTTTGCCCACATCAAGGCATCGTTGAGTGAAATAGCAGATTTGCCGTCTTCCAGGAAGAACGCTGGTCCCTTCCAGACAAAACAAAGAGGCAGATATAAGTTCAGTGACATTTGAGGTAGTAAAATACAAGGCTGCTCACAAGAAAACTACCTGTATCCTGAGGCCAGTGAAGCAGGAAATCTGGACATCAGAATGACTGGGTAAGTTGGAGCCAGTCACATAGTCTGGACCCTCAAGACCCTTGATGGGCTCTTCTCTTATTCGACTCAATATTTGGCTATACTCTGTCTTCTGGGCCTCAGATGGTGAAGTATACAAACTGTCATCTGCCACTCTATGTATGTGTAAAAAAAATGAAAACAAAGAACATATTTAAATATATTCTTTACTAAGACCAATCAAAAAATGAAAAGTTCTTGATTTGTAGGCTGATATGGAGAGGAACTATATAGTACTATCAGTCCAGTATAATAATTAAGGAACTTGATGTAGCAGCAGATGCAGTGATATTATGCACTGTGACCGGAATATGCTCCCTGTGCAAGCAAGAGGTCACGTTATCTATCTGGGCACTATTTTCTGGCACTACATAATAACTTGGCATCATTATATGCCATAATGAGAGTATAGTCCCTATCATTATCGGCCTAGAAAACAGCAACTTTTTAATTTACCATCCTTCTTAGTACACAGAGTAACTACAGAAGAGTCAAGTTTTAAATCGGACAATTGTCAAAATTTTTTGGTAATTTTTTTTCAGAAATTCTAATAATCTAATCCGATTCAGTCATTTATGCTCAGCTAAGCTAAGCGAAATGTGCTCCCGCCAGACTCAGGAGACCCCATTTACACGGGGCTTTAGCGTCAACACTTGACTGAAGGCGTGTTTGAAGTCGGGGCTGATGCGAATGTCATAGCATCGTCAGCCAATAAAATGAGTCCGCAATCAGCTACTGTCTGAGCTGGTGCATTTGCATACAGCGATCTGATTGGGTGACGCTTCCATCGGCGCTTGAAAAGTTGAGAATGTCCCAACTTCTGCAGCGAGCAACGCCTATGAAGCGGCGCAGATGGATCCACAATTCAGTTCGGCAACGGCTGACGTCACTAATTCAAAGTGAATTGGAAGCATTGAAGCTGACGCCCAGTGTGAATAGGGCATAAACGGAATAAAAAATTACTAACCTTTTAACCCTTTCGGACCCTGCATTCATTTCAATGGAGCTTACAGTACATGCCAGGTCGTTCGTTTGTTTTAACCAAATTTAAACCCTGTTGTCCATGAAATTGAACTTTTGTCATTCAATCAGTGTATGAAGTAATTTGAGAAACATCCACTAGGGTGAAAAGAGGCACTTTAATTCAAAGACAAAAGTAAACATGTTCAATAATTTATTGATATGTTTGCCAATATTTCATAAGTTTTCATGAAAAAAGAAGTTTAATAAAAGGTAAAAATTTTGAATTGCAAGCTTTAAAACACGTCTGTCAATTTTTATGGACAGTGAGTTTAGAGTTAAAATGGATAGTTTGCCCAAAAATCACTATTTACTTATTCTGAAGCGGTTCCAAACTTTTTATAAGTTTCTTTTTTGTTGTTGAACACAAAAGAAGAGCTGAAAATCTTTAATTGACTTCCACAGAAGGAAAAAAAACAAATGCCATAGAAGTCGATAGTTACAGGTTTCCAGCATTCTTCAAAGTACCTTCTTTTGTGTTCAACAGAAAAAAGAAACCCATAAATGTTTAAAACAAGTAAATGTGAGTAAATGATGACATAATTGTTATTTTTGAGTGAACTGCTTTTTTTTTTTAAATGTGTATCCAGTATAATGTACAGTGGGTTCTAATAATGTTCAGTTTATGAAACCAAAACCTGAAACATTAAGTTAAATGTTATGTTATTCAAGTTCATTACCTTCTAAAAAAACAAAACAAATAATGATCAACAATTTGTATTATTTTATTTTTAATTTCATGTTGGTATATTGTTTTTGAAATACAGCTGTTTTGGCCTCATGTCCAATCAAATAAAAAAATATTTAAAGTTACTGAAAACTGGTATTATTTTTATTTGTTCTGTTTTCATTTTGTTTAAATTGGATCATAATTCAAGTCTGAAGGGGTTATGTCTAGGGGAGTTAAAGGGAGTAAAACGAGCCTGTTATCTAAAAAAAAAAGAGAGAAAAAATGTGCAGTGTTTCTTTAAACCTTTACATATCACCCAACCTGTCCCTAAACTCAATAGCACAAGTGTTGTGCAATAAAATATGAGCACAATAAAAATGGCTTTCCTTTTTTTTTTATGTAAGTAGCTAGTAATTAACAACACTTCAAATAAAGTGGGACCATGTAGTGTGATGCTTACTTGAGGGATTGTGTACAGGCTCTCCAGGCCTCCAACTCTACAGACAA